TGTGTGTATCATACAACGTAAAAGATTGTTGCTTCAATATCTTCAATGATGGAGCTTTCCCCATAACATGCACCATGATCGAGTATGTGAATATAGCAATTTTGTTTTTAAACTGACCAGTAAACATGCAAGAACACCATGATGAAAGCCAAAGCACGAGCAAATAACGATAGCTGGCTCAGCGAGCACTTTAATCACCGTGCCGTTATCGCTGTACGTGTTTGATGTTCTTCAAATGAGTGCAACGATGGCTAGTTTGGCGGTACGTTAACGTCGCACAAACGTTCGGTGGTCCAATCAAATAAAATACTACAGCATCCTTATTTCATCACGTCCAATGCCTTCTGCAATATTTTCAGATTTGGAGCATCACCTTGAAGTAGTTCAATTGCATGCCTTATTTCCGAAATAACTGTGATAAATGACTTCTTATGTTATGTAACGCAAAGGGAGAATCGTGGTTGAAACTTGATGCCTTTGATTGCTCAACTCTAATAGGGACCCAACTGACATCCATGGCATTTGGAAATCGTGCTTACGGACTGGATCTCAATGGCTCGGCGATAATTTTATTTGTGGTCTTGATCGTCGCATGACATGCTGGTTGGCAGGATTCGTATGGCGTTACTTAAGCGTCATACATGCCTGAACGGTCTGAAAATAGTCTGCAAATGTTCTCGGGCACGTAGCTCAGAAGTCTGAGGATTTTAGGTCTTAAAGGCATGGCTGGGAACTGAACCGAATGATCTTCAAGATGGCTACTTCTGCACAAAACCTCGTACAAATGCAAAACACCCACTTAAAATGGATGATCGCTGCAATAAAAATTATACTGACTTTATCCCCACAGCATCCAGTAGCAACAGCCAACCTGCATCGCAGTCGGTTTGCTCCGCGATTTTCTTCAACCAGTAATGGAACCGAGTTATGTAAATCTCAGGCACTCCGCGTAACGCCATCGTTTTCACGACTTTGTGCCACATCTGAAGAAAATATTAAAATCGATTAATCGGAAAAAGAGTTGAAGTACAAATGGCGAACGCCCAAACAATGTCAACACACCTTGCATATCCACGAACACACTTAATTCGGACCATCATTGCCCCCTCCCAATTACACTGGTTTATTTTAGAGATTTTCAGGCACTCCAGGCAGCATTTCAGGCTGGGATTAGTGACTTTTAGCAGAATATTCATTTGCGCCGTAAAACAAGCATAGCCGACTTCAACCATTGCAGTTGTTTGCAGGTATTTGATCCGTATCCTTAAAGTTACGACTAAAAAGGCTTGCATTGAAAGGTGCCTTTCAAAAAAAAGCAAAAATTTGAAGCATGGCCCGAGTTTGGCACACATAACCATCAGATTTGGTTTCTAATGTTGTGTAGGTGTCAAGCCCATTGGATGCATTTTTGCAGATTGACTTCAAATGTCCTTGAATTCACTCTGAATCCAAACTGAGATGCCAACAGCTAAAGCACCTAATTCCGGATCACAATTTTGTGTTATGACAGAATTGGTCTTAGAAGCACAAATGGTTGCCTTTTGAACTTAACTCACATGTAAGAAGATAGATTGCTACAAAATCCTGGATATGGACCATGTTAAAGATTTTTAGCTAACTTTACAACTATAAAATACAAGTACCTTCTTTAAAGCAGAAGCATTATCAGTATTTAGAAACAGGGAGATTATACCATCCTATCTCCAAAAGTAATTTTAATTATTTTCTGACAAAAGTGAGAGTGTAAAAATTTCCGCTCAACGTCACAACTTTTAAATCACTTGTGACTAACTGGAAAGCAAATATGCTATATGTGCATCCAACGTGTTCATAGTGATACTGTTGCATCATTGTCAACTATTTTTTAGGTTCATTATTAAGTTAGGTTAGGTGAGGCAATGTGACGTTAGACAAGGTAGTGAGGTGAGGTGAATTAGGTGAAATAATCCAACATATCATGAATTGCAAAAACTCTTGGATTCAATTCCCAGTGGTGATCAAATATTTTCAAATCAAAATCAGATCAAAAATGCTTTCAAAATTTAATCTTAAATGCACATTCACATCGTCCTCACCCTCCATTCTGATATGTGAATGGTCACAGCTGGCTCGCCATAGCTGAGCAGTGTGAAATGTGACATCGCTTGGTGCTATTTGTGCTTAATATGATCGATAAATGTTATTTTAGGTGTATTTCCTCCCATGCGTGCATCTTGGCATTCAATATTTGGAATTGGCGTGACATAAATTAGCCATAACCATGCACCATTGCTGTCATGCTCATTTCAATTACAATCGTAATCTAATGTCCCTATTCGTCAATTGCCAGCGGTGTTTTCTGCTATGAAGGAGGCATTATATAGAACGCAGGTCAAAGACAGGCCATGGCTGTCAGCAAAGGCAATTTCAAGGAAGCCATTCAAGGGATGCAACAACGAAGTGTTGTACAGAACCATGCCTCCCTGGGATTTTCAATCTGAAAATCAAAATTTAGGTCTGCGTCTTTTCCATTCAACCTGAATGTGGTGTAATGGTCACACCGAGGTGAAAACGAAACAGGTTTTTCACTGGAGAGATTACTTCATTGGGTTGTTTTTGGCGCTCAATCCAAATTCCTTGATCAAAAGGACGTCAACTGGCGTTTTACGGACTTGTGAATGCCAGAGGAGGTTGCTAGCCTAAAATGGCCCAGATCAGTCCTCTTTGTCACGGGTTTACTTGCTAGCGTAATTATAGGCGCTTATTTGAATTAAAAAAAACAAGAAAGTATTGTAGGTTCTGGTCACCATTACCATTGTCACCATTACCATTAGCCATTCGAAGGTAAAATGAGCTCAGTTACTTGAAATGGACATTAGTGACCTTTTCCTTCGAGGAGGAATCTCGGCTCAGGACAAAATCTGGTGCTTCGGACACGGATCTTGAACTTAACCGTGTTTGACATTATTTGACCCAAGGGCCGTCACCCAAGTATCTCCTAATTTCACACGAGTGAGTGTACGTACAGAACTACCTACTCTGAGAACTTGGTGTCACCAAGCTCCAATTATTTTTGAGATCTCGGTGGTCGGGTTGAACCCACGCCACCGATCCCACCCGAGCGCTTTATGTTCAGTCAGTCACCGGGACGCGTCTGCCTAAAATTTATCGGTCGTCCTCACAGTGTGAGACGACGTTCAGCATGTCCAGAGCCTCTCTAGCACTGCAGAGTACCTCCTACTCAATTAGCTTCCCTTTTCATCTCTACAACCGACAGGCACCTGTCTCTGGTTATACCAAAAGTTGTACTTATACCTGCTTTTCTGATAACGAACTAAAGGACCATTCCATTTGCTTCGCATATGCTCACCTCAAAACCCGTTCGACAACTTTTGTTATCACAACGTTTACATCTCATGGGTGCGCCCATGAATTCTCAATTATAATGGTTTGCCATATTGATCGATCTTGAAATCATCAGCCAGTGATCTGCGCTGATTGTATCAAAAGCATTTTATAAGCGAGACAGTTTTGTGCGATCAAAAATACGTTAAAGTTTTGTGGTTTCTATATTTTTGGACCTCAATTAGAATGTCATAAAATTTCATTTTTACAGATATAGGTTTCGTCGAAGGCACTGATGATTTCTCTGACTCCCTCTACATTTTTCCCTCGCCGATGGTATCTCCAGAGATAATACCAAAGGCAAACAAACACTTTTAGTTTCCCAAAATCGGCGCCGTAGTTCCCGGGTCCTCAGGTGGTTAAATCCTCCCTAGCCAGAAGCGGTGTCGGCAAGACAGCCTGAAACAGGGTTAAGGCACGGAGAAGACAAAAACCGATCCCTAGGATGCTCTCGAGGGCTACCACCAGGCACTATTAGTCAGTGGCGTAGCCAGGGTTTGGCCCAAGAGCGGTCAGATCGGGTCATAGGGGCCCTTTCAGCCAGGGGGCCCTCCTCCACGCTCAGCGGCGCGATCTTTTATTCGGGGAACTTGGTAGGGTCGGTATTTTATTCTGATGCTTCAGGGGCCGGTTTTCTTTAGAAGCCCTACTAATGTCTTAAACTGCCAAAAATTAGCGGGGCCCTGCGACCCCCAGGAAGGGGAGCAATGGCTACCTAGGGCCCTTTGCTCTTGGCTACGTCATTGGTATTAGTCGACAGGAGGCCCAAGGTGATCAAAAGTAGGCCCCACCAGATGCATAGGAGGCCCCGTGCAAAACAGGCGGACCAGCCAGACCGATAGGAGACCCCGATTAAAAATACCGGAGGCACCACGGATCTAAGAGGGATTTCATTACATGGAAGCCCATGCATCTAACTTCAGGTGCCTTTGAAAAGTGGAGGAAATTCCAGGGGAGAATTCTAGATAGGGAATGAGATAGAAGGCCCCAAATTCGTTTAGGACTCCCCTAGACCTTTTTGACACATTTGGGAAATGTTTACGGCGCCAACCGATCAGGTTAACGTATGAGCGACATTCGGCCGAAATCGGAACTCGTCGCTGAATTATAACGCTAATATCACGCCCATTTCATAGATGACATTTTGTGTCGCCGTAAACAGTATACGTGGGGTTTACAAATATGCGGTCGAGACCGTTGGGGAATCAGTGCGAAGCGTTTCAATATTCTTTAAAAACGCCCGTACAAATACGTCTGCCTTCCGCGTGCACATTAAAACACGTTTGTGCGGTACACAGATACACTTTATTGGAATGAGGGAAGTCTGACCTTGGGGCAATGCCCATGAAATGCCTCTCTGGAATTATGTCCGCTTGTCATATACGTCTAGATATGTTTGAGAGGAGTACGCATTTTTGACCAGCACCTTAAGTGGAATCGGTGGGGTGGGGTGACTCCGTCCACATGCCTGAAAAAAACACCCACGGAAACTGATGTCTTTCAGTGTTGGACCCTCGGTTCAGCCCCTTAAACGCTTCAAAACTTAAGCTCCCTGACCATTTATACTTCTCCTGACCACCTTACGTTCATGGGTGATCTGTCACTAAACTCGCGTGGACATTGCGACACATTAATTTATTACGAACATATCGACACTTCAACAAAAACCCGGCGCCAGCGAGGGAAAATCACATATGAAAATGGTCTCTCACATTCACTGCGCCTCCCATACAATAATGCCCGAGCAATCCCGTGAAGTGTCGGTTGCGACACTGTCTAATTACGACATCTATAACATATGGACGCACAGTACAACCTAGATGCATTTTGAACACCGCTCCGTGACGTCATCTACCTATGAAGCTTCCCGTATCGAATGTGAATGAGCTCCGCAATGACAGCAGGAAGCGTGATATTTTGTGGATGTCAATGCGAAAATTTAAAAATCCAACGAACAAGAATTACATGTAATTTTTACACACTGGTGTGTCGGAGACATCAAACACTAAGCTGCGCGCTCAAAAACACAAAAGGCGTCAAAAAATCACACAAAAACATGACTGTAACTCTAGAAAAATGAGGAATAACCGAACAGCGCAGAGTGATCGAACCTCCTCGCCTTCGCATCTTCGAAGAAGGAGCCTGCGACAAGTGGTGCAGCGATGTGCGACTTCAGAAGCTCGACGTCGGCCTCTGGCACGGGCGAGCTGCTCTCCACCGCCGCCAGGGGCGCGTCGGTCTGGCTCTCCTCAGTCGTCGGAATCTCGGCCGCCGGTGTCGCTGCTGTCGAAGTTCCCGTACCGCCAACAGATGGCTCTGGGGTCAGCGTGGCGTCGGCCCCGCCGAGCTTGGCGGTGGGCGCCAGGGGCTTCTTCCCCGTGAACAAGCCGCGTTCAGTGGGCTGGAACTTCTTCAGCTTGGTGATCTTGACGTCTGCGGTCGTTGCAGAAGTCACGCTTGGAGCAGTGGTAAGGGCGGGAAGGTCCGGTACCGCGAATGCCACTGACTTGGCCGCCAATGGCGCCGTTTCGGCCGCCACCGCGCACAAGATCTGTGGAGAGAGGTCAACACCGTCACGTGCTGACAGGTGGCACTTTAGCAGCCCCTCCGCACACACTTACGGTCAGGGTCGAGGTGACGTCATCGATCAACCACGACACCACGGTCTGGGTCAAGACCTTGGTCCCCGCCCCCTCCCGGGCAAGCGACGCTGGACTTACAGCACTGCGCATCGGTCCCGGAATAATGTTTGCCCCGTCAGCTTCTCTCAGAATGTGGCTTTCAGTGTGTGCCGAATAAAGCATTGTCCGATCGCTAGGAATCTGTGAGCTCCATGTTGCATGTTACAAAAATGCACTCACCGCACTAGGTGAAGTCCAACAAAAATCAATATTTGACGCGATATTTCAATCAAAACCTTGAAGCACTGAACCTGGTGAATACTTCTGCCACTTTATTGGCATTTTTGGACGCGAATCACGAGCAGCAGTTGCTTCCCACGATCTATATTCAGGCGCCGCCGGGAGCTCATTTGTGAATGTTTCTGAGACGGCCTCGTGTGCGAACGTTGCTCATTTGCAAATGCATCGCGTGCTCCGGTCCTCGCGCCGTAACTCAGTCCTCGCGTCACACGTCACCGGAGGGTGACACTAGTCCCGCCGTAACGACTGAACCACGCCCTGCTGCCCGCCCCGCCTGAGCACTCCCGCCGGGCTACCATTTGCCAAATTACATTTTCGCCCTCGCCCAGGCGGCGTCTCCCTCTAAGCGCCGTACTGCGACGCTTCGAACAATCGACAAGCCAGACTGTTGTCCACTGCTGCACGCCAGCGCAGATCCGCGTCCGCCTTCCGCCGGACGTCGGTCGCCTTGGTTAGATGCCGAGCGCTGCCTCAGGCGCCGGCCAAACTGCATGGGCGTGGCGGTGTCGGACAGAGGTGACCTTCAGCGAGACTCGGGCGGGTAAACAGGGGAACAGGCGCGGTCGGTCCGTGCGTCACGCGCGGACAGGCGCGGGACGCCTGCGCCTGCCGGGCGCAGGCTGTGCGTGGGAGGACGGCGGCTGGAGGTGGTCTGCGGGGGCGTAATGTCGCCGACCTGTGTGATGTGGCGTTATCGGATAGGCGGATGCTGTTGCTCAGCTGAGGAGGAGGTCCCGTCCGCCGTGGGAACGTCCCCGCTCCTACCGCCTCTCGTGGGAAGAAGATTGCCTGCAGAAACATTTCGCTTGAAGTGTGTGTGTGTTCGCGTCCGCCGTCCATGGGTCTGAACGGTCATCTGAGTAACTAGCAGAGGGCCCTCGCGGACATTTACCCGAATGACGTTTGCCTTTTTCGCAGGTCATTGGGCGGCCCAATAAGAAGCGCGCACGCTATTGGAACGCTTGGTGTGTGGGAGGAAACTCAGAGTTGTGCGGCGAGTGCCTTGAAATTTTGGGGCACTCTAACGTGAGATGCTGTTAATAGAAGTGCAGTTGAAGTCTCTCGATACAAACTGGAAAGACCGTTTGTTGCAGGCCTGTGAGCGTTGGAACCAGACATGCGTAAAATGAAACTAGACACCACTCGCTCGGCAGCTGGCTACCTGCGTTACTTGACGTCACTTGTTGCACCCGCACTTGGGAAATACCTCATTTTCATTGGTATTCTCACTTGCATTCTCATTTGTAAAATGCATGTACTCCGATTTGGCGACATTGGTGAATTTTGGCTCAGCGTTGTGGTATACACAGCGTGTTGTGTAAACCTGAACCCACCACCCAATGTGCGCCATCCAGTCCAACGAATAAGCTAAGCTAAGAATGAGCCCGTATCGCAATGCTGCGGGAAAACTGTCCCGGGCCTGGCTGGACCCTCGTTGGCCAGTTGCCAGCTGACCTTTCCAGGTCAAATGGGCCGAGCGATGCATCCCGCTGGGACTCGTATCCAGTGGCGCTGGATAGTGAGTCCAGCATCTTTCCTAAGGCCGCGGGCGACTGGAGCCTCTGGGGCCGGGACAAGGACTCCAGAGGTATGATCAAATCTTGGTTGTCACTTGTTGACCCGAATGGGTCAAGTGGAATGCATGAATTAATAAGGTATTACCGACGTGTTGTGGTATGTGGCAACCTGTGCCATACCATATTCAGGACACATCACAGGAGCCATCTGAGTACCAACTGCGCACAACGTCGTAGCCTGACCCACAGAGAAGTGCAAATTGTCTCCACCCGGCGGGAAACGGGGCTATATTAATATGACAAAACAGTCAACATATCGACGAAATCCCCTTCACATTGCACTGCGCTCTGTCGGTACCACAAACGTACCGCCTATTCACCTCCTTGTTTAGACAGAAATTCACGTTTTGTCAAGGCGATAATTTTAAAAGGCACTGTTTTACGCATCGAACAGTCCCACGCGACTTATTCTCTCCGTCCACACTTCTCTGCTAAGCCGCTGCCCGGCAGCTCTTTGCGTTCGTAATCTCCTGAGCGCCCGTGCTGATGAGCCCACCGCGCCCGCATGCCACGGAGAGCGGCGCAAGAGCCCACAAATCAGGCCAGGATCTGACGTTTAAACAGTGCGTTTTTGGCTGGCTGGCTGGCATCACTTATCGGGCAATCCGGTGAACTCCGAACAGCTCAAACTTCCCGTGGGGCTTAGAACCAAAAGCCCACTTTTTAGAAAGTATTTTCTGGTCGCACGGCAGACTCATAAAACGCCCATCTGACCACTCCTGCGAGGCCAACGGCCTGCTATTGGTTACTCCGCTAATAGGGTCATATGACACCCGTGTCCAACCTCGGCTGCCCCACGGGCGTAGAGTGACGAAACAGAAGTCGCTCACCGGCCGCCCCACAGGTATCCGGTTGTCCAGGTACGAGCGCTCACCACCGCGGCCGTCGCTCGTAAGGAGAGCTGCCACGGCGCCCCCGGGCCGTCACCCATCCCAGCGGCCGCGAGGCCGGGCGCCGCAACAGCCTTCAATCAGCTGACTATGGAAGCCAGGTGGCAAGGCTGCTCGGCGTCGGCCCGCGCCGCCGGCGGCCGCCGCAGCCGGCCAACCACGCGCCGCCGCTGAGCCAACAGCTGCCGCCGACTGATGGCTAAGGCCAGGGCCACCGTGACCGGGGACGCGGCCGCCGAGAGGCCGTGCCACGCGGAACCGAGGCGAATTGGAGCCGGGGTCTGTCACGTGACGGCTGACGCGTGACGAGGACCGCTGTCACGTGATCTGTGTCGTCTGGCGGGGCCGACAGCATAAGTCGCGTGACCCGTGACATCCAGCAGAGCCGCAAGTGACGTGACCGATGGCGGGCGTCGGAAGGCGTGGGATCACGTCTCCACTCGGTATCCGGACCGAACATTGTGGGACTAATTAACAGCGGAAGAGACCAGGGCCCTCACGACGGGCCCTCACGGAGCACAGACCAACTGCTCCCGGTCCACAGACCAACCGGACAGACCAACCCCTGCTCTCAGTGTTGGCGAGCATCACACCACGCGAGGACCGGGCTCGCTGCAGGCCACTCGCCGACCAGATCACGGCATTCTGACTCGTAGTTAATGCCCTGACTCATATTTTATCCGAAAACCAGACGGCGAGGAAATCCCAAGAGACGCGCGCTCGCTGTGCAGGAAAGCTGGGATACGCCCACCTGCCGTGCGGCTGAAAGGCTGCCTTGCGTAATCTCAGAGCCGGGAAAGGAGAGTCGGAGGCGTGCGGATCATGTGAGGGCGGAGAAGTTTCCGGTTTGACTCACTCCGCGTGCTATGGCCAATCTGATCTCATCTGGAACGGAGGGCGGTGCCGGTGCCTCGTGGTGTTCCGGGAGTCAGCACCGAGTCGTGCTCCGGGACCGGGTGACTCCTGCCTCAGCTATTGCATCACGGATCTGTTTCGGTGCAGGAGGATCGCCTGGCCCTTCAGCCATGCGGATGCGGTGAAACTTAAGGTGCTTTGCCAACGTGAACGTCATCAGGATTCAGTTGCTTCTCACGAACAGAGGCAAAGAGGAAAGGCTTCGCGTTTACCGCTAATGGCAGCGGCATCGTTTTGTATCTTTGATTCGCATTTTTCTGCTGTATCTTAACTGCTGCACCTTTGTGTGCATCGTGCCGCTACATCCGTTAATCACTCACACCGTACTGTTGCCCACACGCACTGGTCTGTTGACTTCTCACTGGTGTCTGGAGCTTCCAGCATTTTCTCCTGGCCAAACTATCCGCTACAGCCAGGCTGCATTTGGAAGGAGGGGGGAGGGGGGAGGAGCGCGTTTTAACTGTTGTCAAATCTACTACTGACCAAGCAGGGAGAGTGAAGTCAAAATTTACTGTCTAATAAAGACACTAAATGGAAATGTGGAGGGAAAAAGCAGGTCCACTGATCAGATGCCCTTTAGCAAGCATGAGTCTTGCAAGCGTGCAACGTGGGAAATAAACAGCAAGCCTCACCACATGCAGACCAAAAATTTTGATCGAGCAGTAGGGTCACCGAATTTTACCTCTTTCCCACATTGGAAGACTCTAATGATCACATATTTTCACCAACGGTCGCAGATGCACAAGAGGAATGCAAAATCCCGTTGGTAAAAGCGTAACTGATCTATGTATTTTGTCGCCCCTCCCCACCGCTCCCCTCCGCCAGAACACTACAGCGTCACATCCAGCGACCACCACAACAGGCCAGTCCCTGTTAGCACAGCAGCTCCCATTCTCACCAGCACAGCCCTGCCCAGTCTCACCAGCACAGCCCTGCCCAGTCTCACCAGCACAGCCCTGCCCAGTCTCACCAGCACAGCACTGCCCAGTCTCACCAGCACAGCACTGCCTAGTCTCAGCTGCATAGCCCTGCCTAGTCTCACAGCACAGCCTTGCCCAGTCTCACCAGCACAGCCTTGCCCAGTCTCACCAGCACAGCCCTGCCCAGTCTCACCAGCACAGCCCTGCCTAGTCTCACCAGCACAGCACTGCCCAGTCTCACCAGCACAGCCCTGCCGAGTCTCAGCAGCATAGCCCTGCCTAGTCTCACAGCACAGCCTTGCCCAGTCTCACCAGCACAGCCTTGCCCAGTCTCACCAGCACAGCCTTGCCTAGTCTCACCAGCACAGCAATGCCCAGTATCACCAGCACAGCCCTGCTCAGTCTCACCAGCACAGCCCTGCCCAGTCTCACCAGTACAGCAGTCCACAACCCCATCAGTATAATCCTCCAGTTTAACCAGTATAACAGTCTACAGTTCCATGAGTACAGCCCTCTGGTCTCACCAGTATAGCCGTCCACAGTCCCATCATTACCGCCCTTCGGTCTCACCAGCATAGCAGTTCACAGTCCCATCAGTACAGCCCTCCGGTCTCACCAGTATAGCAGTTCACATTCCCATCAGTACAGCCCTCCGGTCTCACCAGTATAGCAGTTCACAGTCCCATCAGTACAGCCCTCCGGTCTCACCAGCATAGCCGTCCACAGTTCCATCAGTACAGCCCTCCGGTCTCACCAGTATGGCAGCCCACAGTCCCAGCAGTACAGCCATCCAGTCTCACCAGTATAGCAGTCCACAGTCCCATCAGTACAGCCCACCAGTATAGCAGTCCACAGTCCCATCAGTACAGCCCACCAGTATGGCAGCCCACAGTCCCATCAGTACAGCCATCCAGTCTCACCAGTATAGCAGTCCACAGTCCCATCAGTACAGCCCATCAGTACAGCCCACCAGTATAGCCGTCCACAGTCCCAGCAGTACAGCCCTCCAGTCTCACCAGTATAGCAGTCCGCATGCTGGGGCCGTTCCCGAGTGACTGGCGTCACAGGCTCCGCCGTGCAGAATGCGCGGGCGCTGGCGGCGCGCGCGGCCAAGGACCGCCGCCACTTCCTACCGGCCACGACCGCACTTCCCTGGCCGCCGGCTCGCTGGCCTCGCCCCTCCCCCCCCCCCCCCTCTCCGCACCTGGGGAGCGAGGGGAGGGGAGCGTCTGGGAGACAGGCAGACAAGGTCAGGGCCATGTGAGGCGTCCGACGCGCCGGGACCGGGGAGGTGATGGTGCGGTACGGGGCTGGTTGAAGGTCACGTGCAGTCCACTAGTAAGGTTTGGGCAAGTGAGAGGGTTTCTATGGCGAGGGCATAGGTCGCAGGTCACACGTCTCGGCTAAAGTCTGGAGGGCTGCTGGGAAGGTTTGGTCCGCAAGGGGAACGGAACAGTCTTTAAGGGATTGCCCATAGCGCTACGGTAGTCAGATTACCGTTTGCCCTCTGGTTTGTCCTCATGTCTTCGTTTTACCTCCTACGAGATTTAAGAAGGTTCGAGGACTGAGTGGGAAGATAAGAAACAATTGGCTGTCAAATGCGGTTGCTATGGCATGGTAATGCAGAAGGATGTGTTGCAATCACATCGTGCAATTGCTATTCGATACCAACCACGCATGTAATCGGAAAGCATTAAGGTCATTTTGCTGCGACGCGATGTGAAATCTTAAGCAGGAATATCGGGATGCCACAAATCTCTCAAAATCTGATGTTGTTTACGTTTAGTGCTCCACCTACGTTCAGTGGAACTTGTTTGCGGAGAAGCTTCCATGAGCCAGCGGGAGCTGCCATGAGCCAGTGGCATCTTCCACTAGCCAGCGGGAGCTGCCGTCAAGTCTCTCAAGTTGATCTATATTAGACCACGTGTTCCAGTGCGAGACGTCCGTCCGAGCTACCACGGGACGATCGGGTTATGCCGTAGTCGACAGAAGGGCCCGGAGGTCGGCGGCAGCCGTCTTTGGGTTTTCTGACGAGCGGCGGCCAGCCAATGTATGGTCGAACAAAGAGGTTGTTGACAGCGTTTTCCAAGACATCCCCGTGCGTCAACTGGTTTTGTGAAAGACACAATGCTGCAGTGATCGGGACAACGAGCCGGAAAATCCAAACTGTTTTAAGAGAGGTGGTTAGCAGCCTAAAGGTCATATCCGGCTTAACGATCCCGCTACAGCTAAAGTTAGCCGCTGATGCGAGCTGATGGCGCCTGTATTTTGCATCGGCGATTAATTGCTTGGGTGACAGCTCATGCGGCCAAAAGTCACGTGGCAAAGCGCCGACAGTTTGACGCATGGAGTCAATCACCGCCCATATAAACGGCTAATCACAGCTAGCGGCAAAAAACCGTCAGAATTGGACGTGCCGCCGGTCAGATCTGCGGGCGTCATCAGGGAAAAGTTGCCAGATGACATGCACGCGGTGCACGCGGCTTATCAAACGTCACATAAAGCGGCAGGTCCTGCGGTGAGGCGGCGTAAACAGCGGCACGTGGCGGTTTCGCTGCGGGCGGGCTGTCGTACCCGCCCGGCTTGTGCACAGGTGCACGGGTCACGTGACTGCCGTGGACAAATGGCATCTCACGTGATAGGGCTGGAGCCGGCTGCAGCCGGGCCGGGCGACAGGCGAGCGCATTTTTCTCGCGTCGTTTCGAGCAGACCCGTCGCTGCAGCGGTTTCAGTCGCTTCATTGCTTGGGTATTTTTGTCGTTTCCAGAGCGCTCTCCAGCTCGTGTCGCGCTGTCTGTCTGGCGCACGCATGGTTGCTGGGCGGGTAACGGGTGGCTTAGCAAGTGGTTTGACTGTCCGTGAGTAGTCTTTTTTCCGGCAGGGGGGGGGGGGGGGGATTGAGCCTTGCGCTGTCCTCCGAGCCCTCAGGATTGACAGTTTGATGCGAGAGGACCATACGTTTGGTATAGCCAGAGCGGTGTAATGTGGCAAAAAGGCGGCCCAGGGACATTTTTTCGGAACACGGAGATTGGTGGTTACAATCACCCACAAACGACGTGCTCCGCCCAGTCATTTGCATACCCTTATTTCAGCTTCAACAATGCGAGCACGTTTGTTTCTATGCGACGATGATTCTGCGCTAACCCTTGCTTTGTGGTTAGCCCTTCGTGACCCGATGAAGTGAGATTGCGAATAGTCAGACCAGGTCAGCAGAGATGACAGTTTTACACACAAAGAGCATGGCGCCAGGGGTAACGAAAGTTTTCCCAAAACTCTGGGGTAGGGGCATCGGTCATGTTGGGTTATTTACTTTCAGTCACTGTCATGGTACCAGTGCTGAACCGTTAGCGCAAATTGGATGGTTCAGACTCCCACCCCCACCCCACCCGCCGGCCTCAGGCTCCGGTGCCCTTGTATGCCACACAAATCTGCTTTTCCAGCGGAAGTGACATCTCCAGTGACCCTGGCTGGCCTTGCTTGCGCCCTTCCAATGGGCCAACCGAAGGTTAAAAACACAATGGCACGAAGACGGAATCGTTTCGTCACCGAACTCTAATCTGGGCTAGGTACAGTCCGCAAGAGCAGGGACGCACGCAGACCTCTCACGCTAAGCAGAAATGACAACCCCGAGCAGTGCCGTCGACTCTGAAATAACTGCGTTAACCTACCAACACATTTTTCCACATGTTCTAAGGAATGTTGCTGTGGCTCTGCGAAGGCTGGGTGCGCAGGTGGATACTGCGCAGTGAACAAACATGGCATGCGATGCTTCTCTTTTGCGGCAAAAGGGTCAGGACAGGCGCACCATAAGAAAACACAAACAGTGGGGAGACGTGCGTAATTATGTAGCATGAATTGACGTCAGGTGACAACACGCATCAAGACATTGGCGGTAATCAAACACCATGAAAACGGGAAGACGAAAGAGCGTCATGAAACAACGATAGAGCCGAGATCCCACCACATGGGAGTATTTAATCATTTATTGTATTTGAGCTGCCATGGTGACACTGGTAACCCCAGATAAATGTCTTAGAACAGGAGATTTGAACTCAAGCGCTTTCAGCTCTTATTATAAAACGGATGAAACCTATAAAACTGTGCCATTGCACAGTCATGAATCACAAGTAAGACCCGGCTGCGTACTGCTCCAACGACCACATGGATACAAATAGATAAGGAAGGTCCCAACTATAAGCTAGCACGCTTATAGTGTGCTATAAGCGTGCTACACACACACACACATACACAGTGTATGTGTGTTTGTGTGTGTGTGTGTGTGTGTGTGTGTGTGTGTGTGTGTGTGTGTGTGTGTGTGTGTGTGTGTGTGTGTGTGTGGTGTGTGTGTGTGTGTGTGTGTGTGTGTGTGTGTGTGTGTGTGTGTGTGTGTGTGTGTGTGTGTGTGTGTGTGTGTGTGTGTGTGTGTGTGTGTGTGTGTGTGTGTGTGTGTGTGTGTGTGTGTGTGTGTGTGTGTGTGTGTGTGTGTGTGTGTGTGTGTGGTGTGTGTGTGTGTGTGTGTGTGTGTGTGTGTGTGTGTGTGTGTGTGTGTGTGTGTGTATTAACAAACAAAGAATGTAGCATAGCGTTTTTAATAGTTCCAGCACTACATTCGCATTTTATGGATTATCTATCTGTATTACACCATAAACAGAATCGTCTTCCCGAATAATGCGAAGGGGCTATTCATTTTCCACGGCGTCCGTAACTTCCTCCCGTTTCCGTTGCCTCGTTTATCTCTCTTTAAACCGTTGCTGCAGTCTTTTTCCCAGTGTGGAGACTACATTGCAAAAAAGTCACCGAAAAGTGCCAACCTCGAGTCATCTACTCTTAACGCGTATCCATCTAGTGCTTGCTCTTCAATTAGCGTCGTTCCGGCCCGAATAAAGCAACACCGCACTCAGCGCCAAAAAACCCACGTTCGACAAGGTTGTCCAACTCACCCGTCCAACTGCTGTCCAACTCACCTGTCCAACTGCTGTCCAACTCACCTGTCCAACTGCTGTCCAACTCACCTGTCCAACTGCTGTCCAATTTTAGATGGCGCTCACCCTCTAAGCGGCCTTAGAACCGGATTATGGGCGTGGAGGCAGGACAATTGCAGGTCTGACAACAGGATGCCATCACAAGGTCAGGTGCCCCCCCCCCCCCCCCCTCCTCCACCAGTCGACATGCCTGTCGCTCGCAGGGCGGTTGCGACACGTGGAATGTTGTCGAAACGAGGCGCGACCTTGGCGAAGACTTGGGCGCACGAGAGAGAAATGGGGGGGGGGGGGATGAAGACGAGAGGCAGAGAGGGGAGAGAGCGCATGTCCTTGTTTCCGTTATGTCATGGCCTGATTCGTAGGCGCGGTGAGGTGTTTAGTAACAATGAATAAGGCACATGACAACACAATAACTGACCCTCAAGGTATCTGTGAAAACCATCAACTCAGTTTCGACAAAGAATGCATAGTTCTGGCCAGTTCAGCCTACTTTCACGAAGACTATCCTCTTGCTTCGCTAATCGGCGAAGCTGAAAGCATCAAGATGCACGAGGGTAGCTGTTAACCCTCGACCTGATATGGTGGGGGGGGGGGGGGGGCAATGCAACCTCTCCCGGAAGTTTGAAATTGTAATCCTGACCTGTTTCTTCCGGAAGAAGAGGAACTCCGTTTAATGGGTTTCCAGAAGCAATCGTAAACCCATAGAGATAGAACTAATTCGAAGCTGAAATAAACACTTATTGTGCTTACCAACTACGCGCCATGTGTTGTCCTCGGCGCCGTTTTTTTTTCAAATTGCCGGCATCCCCAGCGTTCCAGTTACTCACCTCCCACACCTCACAACTCACGCCTCACACCACACACCTCACCTCACCATGCACCTCACGGAGGGGACACCAAGAGATCACATGTAGCGTGAACACTGTACTCCTTTTGTGTACTAAATGCTCACACAAAACACCGAAATTTTAACATCTCCAAACAACACAAGAAAACTCAATATTCTGAAAGCTTCGCTCATTCATGTCCTCGGACCAGTGCTAAACAAGCGAACTCGTCAATTTTTGTAACTGTCTTTTTTAGCAACATCGCATGGGTCGGTTGCTGACATGAGATGAAAAGCCGGTTACTGCTTT